TGACAGTGCTTTCATATGAAACATTGACATTGTGCACCTTGTTGTTTCAGAACAATTACAGTGGGCAACTTTGCATGAATTTCTCATTCAAGAAAAAAAAATTGAAGAATGGGATATTTGTATTTATACTAAGTTGTTTGTTAACATTTTTGTTTTTATTTTATTATTCTTTCGAGAACCAATTTCAAAATTGTAAAAACTTTTGAAAATAAAAAACTAAGTGTCTTTTTTTTTTTGGAACAGCTCTCCCACCACCTTTGGCCACCACCTATTGCCATTCACCATTGTCAAGATGTTTGACCGACCTCTGAAGACCTTTCAAGTACCGTCTAATGAACTCCAATGACCTCTGATCACTCTTTCGTGACCTCTAACAATCTCCAATTACCATAATGTGACGACTTCCAACAGCACTTCAACCACCACCTTCGATACCCAAATCTAAGGATTCAAATTTCTATATTGGATGGATTTCTCTTATGACATTTGAATTTTACTCTGTAAAGTATATATATATATTAAAAAAGGGTTCTTTGTAAAAGAAAAAAAAATAGCTACATGTATTGTCGGTCACAAAGATGAAACTTGTTATACGAGAGTAAATAGGCCTCGTTTGGCATAACCTATATAATCCATCTTTTTATCTTTTTATCTTTTTTTCATCACATCACCTCTCTACTTTTCTGCACATCTTTTCGTAAAAAGACAAAAAGTGCACTTTTTTAGGACACCCCAAACCAACCCTAAAAGTAGGAGTTTCTACCAAACAATTACCATAATGTGATGACTTCCAACAGCACTTCAACCACCACCTTCGATACCCAAATCTAAGGATTCAAATTTCTATGTTGGATGGATTTCTCTTATGACATTTGAATTTTACTCTGTAAAGTATATATATATTAAAAAAGGGTTCTTTGTAAAAGAAAAAAAAAAATAGCTACATGTATTGTCGGTCACAAAGATAAAACTTGTTATACGGGAGTAAATGTTGTGAATACAATCTAAAAGTAGGAGTTTCTACCAAACTTAAGTAGTTTCAAAACTTATCATGCAAGTTGTTATGATTTATTTTTAAAAAATGACTTTAGATAAGAAAATATATTTTGAATTCAAGATTTCACCTAAAGTCGAGTTTGCAAAGTACTACATCACAAAATAACATGAAATTATTAATAAAAAAATTCAAATTTACTTAAATTTGATAAATATGTTTTAAAATAGCATACGTATTTTTTATTTTTATTTTTATTTTTATCTGAGAAAACTCCTAAAAGTTGGGATGTAACCCATTATTAATGAGTTTTATTATATTTCATTTTTAAATTTTACTTTGGGTTAATTACACTAATAGTCCCTATAGTTTGGGACTTGTGTCAGTTTAGTCCCTGACTTTTCAATTGTGACACATTTGACCTTGATTTTTGAATCTTGTTCCAAACAAGGAAAGTTGAAAATATTATTAGATTTTTCAAGGGTAAAATCGTCAATTTGATAAAATATAAACTAATTTGACAAAAATAAATGTCAAAAAAATATTTTTAATTTTTTTAAAATTATTTTTATCCACCAATGATAAAATTATGTAAAATTAATAAAAATTACATGATTAATTTTTTAAAATTAATTTTACATGGTCATCATCCAAACACCTAATAAAAATTAATTTGGTAAAAAAAAATATCTAAAAGATTTATCAATTTTACATAATTTTATTTTTAGTATGTAGAAATAATTTTTAAAAATTCAAAAATATTTGTTTGACATTTTTGTCAAATTAGTTTATATTTTATCAAATTGACAATTTTATTCTTGAAAAATCTAATTATATATTCAATTGTCCTTATTTGGAACAAGATTCAAAATTTAAGGTCAAATGTGTCATAATTAAAAAGTCAGGGAAAATCACACAAGGCACAAACTATAGGGACTATTTGTATAATTTGCCCTTTTATTTTTGTTTTATTGGAAACCACAAATCTACCATAACGCTGAAGCCTTTGTAGAGAGAATTGGAATCATCTGGTAAATAACAATAACATGGTTCATTTTTATTGAACCCCAAGTGAATGATCATATGCTTGCAATTAAAATTAAATAACTTAGGATGCTAATTATGATAATTAGAATAATATAATATGAACTCTTCCATGATTACTTCCACCATGCTCTTGGAAACCCCCCATCACATATGTGATTTTTTTATATTACTCATTTTGCCAGATCCCCATACATCATTCCCACTGACCCATGCATAAATATAGCCTATCTAGATCATAATAATCAACAATATTGAATTTTTTGTTCTCAAATTTTTATGTTCATTTGTTTTAATATAGTGACGGTCATTAGCATAGTAATTTTGAGATTCCCACTTTATAATTTTTAAATAATTAAATAATTGTGATAATTTTAAAATAGAAGAACAAAAATTTAAATACAAATCAATGGAGACTCATAAATCATAATAGTTAAAAAGTTTGTTCTTTTTAGTAGTCATCATACATTGTTCTCTCACTAGAAGCAATAGAAATCAAGTTAATTATCACTCACTCAAATTACAATGCTAACCTCCAAAAAATACATCACTCTAGTATCAGAAAAAATGGATTTTTTTAAAATTTTATTTTTTATTTTTTAATGATGGTAAAATTACAAAACGGGACTAGTTTTTCTCATATCCTAACTCATTCCTACCTTGTCAAAGGTGGATTAATTAGTTATTCACACAAATTACAACACTCAATATAATTTTATAAGGTAATGATCCTCTATCTCTAAAAAATTTAGTGCTATATCTCTACTGTACTTTTAGCTATAAGATATAATGAAAATCTCAAAGTATAAAAATTGTAAAACATAATTTTATGATTGAAAATAAATTGAAACAAGGAACATGAAGATTTAAGACAAAAAAATTCCATGCCATAATATTTTTTGTTTGAAATAGGTTGATGGTTGCCAATTTTAGACCCACCAAACTTCTCACTATGGTTGTTTCTTACCTGCATTCCGAATTGTACTCTTATATAGGTGAGCATCCTAAAAATTAGAAGAAAGTTTTAGTGTAAGTTTAGTAAAATAAATTTAGGCTAGTGATAAATTTTATAAATATTAATAATTAAAATCTTATATTTTTTTATGAATTTATAATTATTTTTTAAAAATGTCAGTGAATTTTAATTTTGTAAATGGAAGCACCACACCACAGATCATGAAAGCTTCTAAATTCAGCCATTTAAGTTCTGTAAACAGTGGACGTAGTCTTGTATCTTACACCTTATGGAAAACGCACCCCCCCAAAAAAAAAAAAACCAAAAAACACATACTATGAATTTATTAAAAAAAAAGTTAAGTTACATAGAAAAAATACAGTTAATCTCATATTTGTTTTTGACATAATTACATTGAATATTTTTTAGTAAAATTAAATTGATTGAAACTAATGAAAATAGTAGGTAGACACTAAAATTAACAAAAATAAATATATATTTTAGTAAAAAATAGATGACAAGATTATTTTTTTATTCATACAACCAACAAATTATTGATAAAAAATGACCTACCAATGTGAGATTAATATAATTATGTAAAAAATGTAAGACTAGATTTGTTTTTCTTACATCTCAAGGGAGGTGAGTGTAATTACGGTTTTGGACCTTGTTTGTAGGGGTGAGCAGCGGATATATTGATCCGTCAAAATCGATCGAACCGAACCGATCCGCCGCATTTTGGACGGATGCGTGATGACGAGCGGACGGTTGCGGATTGATTTTCTCTAATCCGCCAATTTGGCGGACGGATGGTGGATTTGAACTTCCTTTGGCCGCAATCAAACCGCCAAACCGCGAGCACCCTTAGTAATTTATAAGACTTTGTGTTTTCAATTTGTTTAAATATTTTGTTTGTGTTTTCAATTGAAAAAGAATTCAAATATTCTATTGAAAAAAAGTTTTCAACTTGGATATTTTAAGTATATCAAGATTAAGTGGATATAAATTTTTTTTTAAAAAAAAAATTGATTAAAATATTTAAAAAATCACTAAAAATATAAAAGTACTAATTGAAAACTTATAAAATTATTTTTGAAAACTCCATACTAAACAGAGTAACATACTTTAAGAAATTTCAATATACACCATTTGTTTTGTTTGGATATAAACTTTTGAATAAAAGGCAAATGTTCATATATAAACTGATGAATAAAAATAAATTGTTCAAATGCATATTCTATTAAACTGTTTACGTCTAAACAATTATTTTTCGTTCATAATAAGTTTATATTTAAACATTTGATTTTTGTTCAAAAATTTATATCTAAACGATATAATTGATGTATGTACTGAGATTCTTTATGGTGTGTAAAAAAAATTATCCAAATTCATAATGCTCAGTTTGCTTAGAATGAAAATTGGTTGAAAGTGAGAGAAATAAAGACGGAAATTTTTTTTTGGTTTAGCTCGAAGTGGTAAAAAGTAAAGAAAAATTAATTTTCTTATACAACTTATATTAATATTGTAACTAATTTTTATTTTTTACAAAAAGATAAAAATTTAAATATGTGAATTATCTAAAACTAAACTTTTAAATTTTTCTTATAAATTTTTTATTTTAATCAAATATTTAGAAGAAAAAAAAATATATATATATATATATATATTTCACTTTCGCTCTCACTTTCTACTAAATTTTATTCTACCAACTTTTAAAGAGAGAACCGGTAGAATCTCCCAGTTCTAGTTTGGGAAGATTAAATAAGTGCACTTTTCACTTTTTATGAAATATGTGTTGGGTTTGGGTTGGGTTTGAAGTGATATGTTAGAGAGGTGATGTGACTTAAATAAGATGATGTGACTTAAATAGGATAATGACTTTTTAACTTTTTGTCTTTTTTCAATGATGCCAAACTTGGCCCACATAATTCCCATTATGTCCCTGGCAAAAGATTTATTTATTTTCTTATTTATTTATTTATTTTCCTTCTCCCTGCAGACCTTGCAACGGTTGGCTTTAATAATGAATAAAAAAAAATGGGGCCTGTCTAGGAATTTGAATTCCAGACAAAGCAAAAAAGCAAAGCAGACCTTTTCTTTAGGTGAACTTCTGTTCCTTCCCATGAAATCTGCAATTCTTCATGGTTCCTGGAAGCACAAGCAATTATCTATTTCACACCTTTCCAAACCTTTAAACCCCCCAATCCAATCATCCCAAAATCTACTCACCATAGTTGTTTGTTTTAATCCCCCAAAGTTCTTTTTGTATATATACACTTGTATCAGTGTGTGTATATGCACATGTATTGTTTGAAAAAGAACCAAAATTGGATCTCTTGACTGTCTTTGGACAATTCTTTTTATGGGTTTAATCAGAGTATGCCTCTGTTTCCACTATTAGCATGTCTGCACTATAGTTGTTTGTTTTAATCCCTCAAAGAAGTTCTTTTTGTATTTCTACACTTGTATCTGTGTGAGTACATACATATATTGTTTCAATAAGACCCAAAATTGGATCTCTTGATTGTCTTTGGACAATTCTTTTTATGGGTTCAATCAGAGTCTGCCTCTGTTTCCACCATTAACATGTCTGCACTATAGTTGTTTGTTTTAATACCCCCAAAAGAAGTTCTTTTTGTATATATACAGTTGTATCTGTGTGTGTATGTACATTTATTGTTTGAATTAGACCCAAAAATGGATTTCTTGATTGTCTTTGGACAATTCTTTTTATGGGTTTAGAGTGAGTGATGATGTGTTCGGCAACTACTCGTAGCTCATTGGAGCTTATGCTGGATTCAATCCGGCAGAGGGATGAGGACCCATCTGATGCGCCTCCGGCATTGCCGGTTCGTCCGGTGTCGAGGGCTCGGTTGCCTCCAGCAAAAAGAGCATTGCCGGTGAACTTTAAAAGGAATGGTCTAAGGGAAAATCCCAAAGAAAATGAGGCTAGAATGAAGGTAAACCATTCTTTAATTCAGAATAATATGTTTCTTTATGCTTGAGTTTCATGGTCCTGATGAAATGGGGGAATATCAATCGTACTGAATTACAGCTTATATAAAATATGCATGCGTATTGCATAAATATATATAATTTATTTGTTCATAATTATTGTGTTGCACTTCTTTGTACTTACATAGCATTTGGATTTTGTAGTCTTTAGGACCGACAGCTTATAGTAGCATAAATTATACAAGAATTTCTGAGAATTAAGCAACATCTCATCTGTGATTATAGATTAGCTAGTTTCATTTCACAAATTTTCAAGTGAAATATGGTAAATTTTAGATTAACTGTTGGATGAACTAATAGGGATACCTGGTTCATTTAAGTCACAAGTTAGGCCACTCTGGAGGTGGTGTTGGACTAAGCCTCAATAGTCGTGACTCTTCTCTGCCGACTTCCCCTTGTAAATTATCTTGCAAAAAAATAAATAAAAATTGGTGGGCTTTGTCCACATGACAGCCCATTAGGAATGTCATGAGTTTATAAGGTGCCACCACCTCTTCAAAAGTTAAGCCCTTTTGGAGATGGTGTTGGACCTCATCACTCATGGCTCTTCCCTATCAACTCTAGCAGAAAAGAAGAATGTACATTTTAGGCTCTTAAGTAGTGGTTTTGCCATGTTTTCGGCAATGCTTCGTGACTTTACTCTTGTTTCAAATATGCAGCTCTGATTCAGTAATAGTCTAAACTATATAGACCTTGACTTCATTGGAAAACAATGCTGAAGTATCCTGCAAAAAAAATTCAACTGGACATAGATTTGTATTTTCTGACTAGGAAAGCTTGTAGGACCATCCACTTAAACTCATTCAAATCACTTAAAATGGTATCACAAAATCTCAATACCATCACATGACTTGACTATTCTAGTCCTGAAAGTTCATCATAATTTACTCATAATTCACTGTTATTTAGCAAGAATTTTAGCTCACAACTTCTCATGGAGATAACAAAATCAAGCAAGATGATATTGGAACTACTTGTTAAGCCTTTCATGCCAATTGCCTAAAACTACTTCATATGACTGAGGAGGGACAGGGACTCTATGTCCTTTGAGAAATGGGAATTCTCATCTTGTCTCTCAGCACTAGAAATCATCTAACATCAGTTTTAGTTAATGGGTTTGAACATACATTTGATTTCTTTCTATTCCGAAATCAGTTATTGTTGGAGATAAGAGTATATTGTCAATGATATCAGCAGATATGGAAGAAATTAGAATATACAGAGATCTCACGATTTGTGCTTATCTTGATTTTTTGTGTCTTTGATTTATTTCAATTCCTTAACTGAAGGGATTTGATTGTATCTCTCACTCTATATATATGGTGTATCATGTAAACAAGAGTATGACGTTGAGTGAATGAAATATATGCCCATTGGATTTTGTGTGTGTGGATGTAGGCCAATATTGGTTGAATCACGTTAAACCCTTGTGTTCTTTCTTCTCTTTTTTGTCTCTATTATCTCTCCATGTTCAACCTTATTGCATTGTTACAAAATTCAACTGTTATTTCCACTTGCTTCCATTCCATGTCTGATGTTACATGCTTGTGGTTTCTAGATTGGATTATTGGATGTCATGGATGATACAAGAGAAAGAGCACTGGAGAGGATATTGGAGATTCAGAAATACTTTCGTGGTCACCAAGCCCGCTGTTACTATCTTGAGCTTAAAAGAGGAACAATTACACTGCAATCATGTAATGCATATAACATGTATTTTGAAGACAATATGATTTTTGAAATCAACCTGCTGCTGCTGCTGCTTATTCTTTTTTAGGGGGGAAAACATTTTCTAGACTAAAGTCTTACTAATACCATCACAGTACCACCACTAATACAACCACTACTACATTAGTTTCAAAGATGCAACCACACATAGAAAAACGTTTTCTAAGGAAAACATTTTCTTGAAAAAATTTTCTGTTGGAATATTTTCAATAGAAATAAACGGAGCCTAAATCTTGAAGCATTCTGGTTTCGGACCTGCAATTCTTAAGTTGAAATGTTAACTAATCCTATAAACCCGAAAACCCAAACAGAGCTAGTTTATGCTGTTACAAATCCGTAGTCTAGTTTTTGTTTTTAAACTCTCATTGAAGCTATCTATTCATGCAGTTGTTCGTGGAGAAAACACGAGAAAGGATTATCAGGTATTGACTAGAAGGCTGGCATCTGTTACTGTGATACAGCAGCATACGAAAAGGTGGATCGAATGGAGAACAATGCAAAAAAAGCAGAGAGCGGTCATATGTTTGCAATCTGGTAAAATTCTGGAATTGTGAATACAAGCTTGCTGTGGCTGTATAATCACAAGCTAAACTTTCATCCTCTTATAATCTGCAGTGATTCGTGGTTGGTTGACTCGAAGAGGTCTTAATTCTAAGAGAAATTCCAGATTGCTTAGCATTGAGCCTGTGGAAGATATGCGAAAACCAGATTGGAGAAATCCAGAAACAAAGGTAAATTTCTTTTGGTTGGGCCTTTGTTTTTTCTTGAACTGCTACCTTTTTGTGGAGACAATGTTCACATGATAAACTGACATCTATAATGTGGTCAACCTCCATTTTGATAATTTTTGTGAGAATCAGTAAATGTTATAGTTTAAATACCTGCAATGATTTGCTTTTCTAATCTCCATAGTTTCTTAACATATGTCAACTTTAAATAGTATGCAAGTCTAGGGATCAAACATACAATGATTTTTACTTAAAATGGACTGTTGGATTGACAATTATTGAGATGATTGGGTTGTATCATGAACTATAATAGACTAGTTTTTGTATAGGTTGTATTTGATTAGCACATGAACGACATGTGAAGAACGGAATATATGTATGCATTATCCTGGGTACAAATTAATCTATTCTAAATTAGTTTGAATTTTTCTATCTGACCCAACTGAGCGATGACTTTATCATATTCATTGGCGGATCTGCTTTTTATCTGCCTTCTTTCTTTCTCCTCTTTTATATTTTATTTTATTTTATTTTTTTGGATAATATTCTAAAAATGAATTTAGTAACTTTTTGGCTAATTGGCTAAAATAGCCTCTTGCCAAACGACATGTGAAGAACGGAATATATGTATGCATTATCCTGGGTACAAATTAATCTATTCTAAATTAGTTTGAATATTTCTATCTGACCCAACTGAGCGATGACTTTATCATATTCATTGGCGGATCTGCTTTTTATCTGCCTTCTTTCTTTCTCCTCTTTTATATTTTATTTTTTTGGATAATATTCTAAAAATGACGACAAACTATGCATGTTTTGACATCTTCACAGGCAATAGGTCTTTACTGCCACATCACAGTAGGGTTCAGAGATTGAGCTTGATAAATGGGAGGAGATGGGGCTGTAATTAAGTGTTATGGGCCGATTGCTATATAGCATATTTGTTGTTTGAAAAATTAATTTATCAAGATCTAACGGTTATTTTATGAGATGGAAACATTTTGGTCCTTTCAAATTAAGAACTTCAAATCTCTATCAGAAAAACAAACAAACAAAAAAGCTATTCAGACAATTGTCAGTAACCTGAATTTTTTTAATGCACTTTTTATAATAAAACTTTGAATGTGTTGTTGATGAATATTTCCTGTTTCTTGAGCAGGATTATATTCAAGTTTCACCTTCAGCTCTTGCTGACCTTCAAAAGCGGCTCCTCAGGGCAGGCACAGAACTTGGGTTAAAGGAAGAAGAAAACACTGCTTTGCGACAACGACTTCAGCAATTCAATATAAAGTGGTCACAGTATGAGGCAAAGATGAAATCCATGGAGAAGATTTGGCAAGATCAGTTGACATCTTTGCAAGTGAGTTTTCCCTGCTCCCAATTCTTCATCCCTTGCTAACTCCAATTGTGATCTTGGCCATTCACAGATACAAATTAGAAAATACAAAGGTCGTAAAAGGACAGACAGTTTTTATTTTGATATTGATCAAGTCATGGAATTGTCTAATGCTGTCACTTGCTTAATGCCACCTTCAAACTTCATTATGCACGCGATTATTTCGTAATAAGTAATAGCTGCAGATATGACCCTGGGGTTGCTCTCCCAACCCCTGCCTTGGATATCTTTAGTGCGTATGCATATTGTTGGGGTAGTGTGGATCCTGGTAAGTACTGGACACTAATCAAAAGACTGTAGATCCAACTTTGCCCTGAATTGTGGAGTAAGGGTATTTATGGTATTCCCACACTTGTGACCTGTTGCCGTAATTTTCTATTGGGCCAGCAATCTCCATAATCTCTTGCAACCTTTTTGATCATAATGAAAAACCATAGCAGTCGTAGACGTAACTCTAGTTTGGGGAGAACCACGTAAACCTTGTGTGTGCATGTGATTTATCTTTCTTGTGCTTTTGTTTGTTTTTATGTGTTCGTGTCTCACCAATCTTGGTTAGGTGTTAAGGATTTCTGACACATATAGGTGGCACTCTCAAGAAAATTAGTTTTGTTTGCTGCAATGACAAAGAGTCTCTGTTCTGCTATTTGTGCAGATGAGTCTAGCAGCAGCCAATAAGAGTCTTGCTTCTGAATACGCTGCAGATCAACCTGGAACATCTGATCCTTTTCCTTTGTATCATTGTTATGATGCTGATAATACAATGCCCGTGGGAACACAGAATACTGATGGAAGAAGCCCAGTAGATTTTTCAAAATTTCCTTGTGATAATGAACCACAGCAAACAAACATCAGAATAAATGAAATGAATCGACTTAGTGAGCAGCATAAAAAGGTGTTACATGACAATGCCATCATGAGTCCTGATGATGAACTTCAAAAACTGACATTCAGGTTTGAAGCATGGAAGAAAGACTATAAAATACGGTTACAGGAGACAAAGACAGCACTACAGAAGTTTTGCCACTCAGAAACAAAGAAGAGCCGCAAAAAATGGTGGGGAAGATGAATGCAAAATGGACATTAAAATTCGATTCATTTTTTAGCCTTTTGCTTTTGCAAGCCCGGGCATGCCAAAATTTCTATTAAAAACAGATTGGGAACAGAAGGAGAGCTGATTTATTAGCAGGATAAGAGGATAACAAATTTCTGATCTAGTTCTTATCGGCCCATATGTGCGTGGCAACATCCGTTGCTTGGGGAGAAAACATGATACACACTACTAGCAGAGCCCATGAAGCCCAGAGAAAGCAGGTTCTTTCTCTTTATACAATTTCAATGTGGGGTTTGTAAGTCTATTGCTCTTGAGAAAATGAGAAGGGAATTGTTGCAGTTGTTGAAGAATTTCTTGTTGGAAATATTGTTAGTTGTGACTTCATACTAGTTTTTTACATTAAAAAGAGTATCTTACGATTTCAATTTTCAATAACATTTCAATGCTTCCCAGGTACTTTTTTTTCCCCTTCACTTTTTATGAAAAAAGAGAGTTCATAATGAGGCCTCTTCATTTGGTTGATAAAACTGATATTGGATTTGTGAAGCCTGATTAGTACTGTACACCTCAACATGTGATCGCGGAATATCCAATTCTGTTGTAAGTACTAAGGGTGTTGTAAGTACTAAGGGTGTTACGACAATCCATTGATGTAAACCCTAGCATATTTATTGTTGTCTACACAAGCGGCCACATTATAATCTTCTCTTCTTTTAGTTTAGTGGAACTAGTATGAGCCATGGATGCTAGCAATTTTACTGAATCGCGTATATCTGTGTCGTGCTTTTCTTGTTTGTGATTGATTCTTTTTGCTAATTTTGTCTTCAGCCTCGGTATCCATGAATTCCATTATTTGAGCATTAACTCGTTGATTTGTTGACTTTGTATCTACATCTTGCCATATGATAGTTGACTTTGCCTCCTGCGATACTGATACTAATACTAATATGAGAAGAGGCAAGTCTAGGTTGCTTCCCACTTAGAGGATTGTAATATATCATATTAGGCAGGCCCGGCCATGAGATTTATGAGGTTAGGCGGGTTTTGAAAGTGCGATCCTCCTATATATATTTTTTTATAAAAAAATTGCGAATAAAATAATAAGTTACCAATAATTTTTTTATTATTTAGTAGTTACAAAAAGTGTCTTTACACATATAACTATTAAAATTTATTTTCATATATTAAGATATGAAAAAAATCATTACAAAGACTCAAAAAAGATAAACAACAATGCTACTGACCTACAAAAAACACAACCTCCATTCACCTGTGATTGGTCCAGGAAGGGGGGGAATGATTGGTCCACATCATTTTGGGGGTCCCCAACTTTGGGGGGTCCCAAACGTTTTTGTAAGACAAAATAGGGTCTTGTTATTTTATAGTTTAGCAATAATCAACACAAATAACATAATCCACTGATATCTGATAACAAAATGACCACGTTATTGTTATGTGATATCTGACAGCAGAATCATAATCCACACAAATCACAATCTACTAATTATTTGATAACAAAACACAAATTATTGGAAAAAAAATTCTGAGAAAAAAGTAAGGTAAAATTATTCAATTAAATTATGGTAAAGAGAGGGCAAAAAAATTAGGGCAGACAAAATTAAGGAAAAGAAATTAGGGTAAATTTATTCAATTAAAATATGATAAAGAGAGAGGGCAAAAAAAATTAAGATAAAGCTATTTATTCTTTTAAAATCTTGACATTAGACTCTATTTGAACGCATTATATCATATATATATATATATATATTTGTTTGGACTAATTATATAAATTTTGAATTGGGCCTAACAATGAGTATATATATATATATATTTAATTTGGCCCAATGATTTTTTTTGAGGGCCTTTTAGATGGCCTCCAACAATGAAAAATGATTGGGTTTTGAACTTTTAGTATAATATAAAACTAATAAATTTGAAGCCTTATTTTGAGTCAAAATTTGGGGGGTCCTAAGTACAGGTCTTAGTGGCCTTGGTCCAGGACCGGTGGTCCTGATATTAGGTTGTCTTGCATTTAAAAGTTGTTGACGTCTATTTGTATGGAAATAAAATATTTTTCTATGAGAACATATTTGAGACAATATTTTCTTGCGACTTGAAATTAATGTGCTCATCGTTGTGGTTGTAATGGTGCTGTGCTCATAGTTGTGGTTGTGATGGTGCGGGTGCTGGTTGTGATGGTGGGATAGTGTTAGTGAAAGTGGTAAGGTGGCGGTGGTGGTAAGGGCTCAGTTTGAAAAACGTTTTGGTCCAAATATATTTGCTTTCCGTTAACTATAGGACTTATTTATATTGACTTTAGATTTTTATTATACCAAACGCCATAAAAATATGGAAAACTTTATGCAGAAGACGTTTTTTGCCAAAGCATTAATTTTAATGATATACTAAAAGCTAGGCAAGCTTAGAACTCAAAATCACTGGAGTACTGATATATCACTGCCAAATATTTATTCATAGCCTTTCAAACCAAAGACAAAAACAGAAAAACCAACACATACAAACCCTTTCAAACTAAAATTGACAAAAACCAAAACAAAAAAAAATAAAGAAAATAAATGAAAAGACAAAAGAAAGAAGAATGACAGAAAGGAAACTTGATGAATTTAGAAACCGAAGTGTTTTCAATGGTGGCGGGTTAATCAAACTCAAAATATGATGGAAGTTGATGAGTCTGATTGGCTATATCATGCTTTTCAAGGCATGTTAAACTAATATCATCATGCTCTGAATATTCGCAAAATACTATCTGGATATTCAGTGATGCCTTAGGCAATTGGAAGAGCCTTTCTCTGATATCTTCAAGCGATTTATTCATTGGATTTTCCTTATCAGTTGAATGATAACTCTGCGAACCAACCACGACCAAAGATTCCAGGGAAATAGCTTTTTCCAGGAAAAATATAATCAGGTTGATTTCAGTATCAGTGCCCTTGAAATTACTTATCTTGATAGTCTTGAGATGATTAAAATCGCAATCCACAGACTCTACTTTTGGCCTTGCAGATTCTAGGCGGGAATGATGCACACACTCTGGAGGAGGATGGGGGAGCTGCAAAATTACCCAAGATTACTATGATAAGACTTGGTATATTTTTAGTAAAGACCGACGTAAAAAGAAAAGAAATTTGTCATAATTTTAAGAAAGTTTACTAAAGATGAAAATAAACCATACTAAAAAAGTCTACTTCCAAATAGGGTTGTTAAACGAGCTTGACTCGTGTTCGGCTCGTTAAAAACTTGTTCAAGATTAGTTCATGTAAACAAGTCAAACTTAAACATATTTTAAAACTCGTTAAGTTTTCAAATCAAATTTGAATAATCTACTACTTGATTCAATAAGCTTATACGTATTATAAAAAATCAAACTATTCAAACTTTACTTGTATTATACTTGTTAAAATTCCGTATAAGGTCAACTTGTTATGCAAGCAAACCAAGCTTGAATACACTTTAAAACTTATTAAATTTTTAAACCAAGCTTAAATAACCTAATATTCAGCTCAACTTGGTTCACAGCCCTACTTTCCAAAAGATGTTTTCTGCAACTTATTCTAAGTTGAAAACTAATATGAAAAATATAAAAGCACCATTCTCTTAGCTTCAAGAAAATCATTTTTTTTCAACATACAAAAACTTGAACAATAGGACTGAAATAGAATCTCAAAATAAATAAAGTCACAATGGCGTATTTAAGCTGCATCATACAACCCTTACGAGTTTTTGAACTCTGATTTGTAATGTTTTGCCTTTTGCCTTTCTTTTAAAAAAAAATGAAACTAAGTGTGTAAGAAGATTTAGCATAAAAAATAAACCAGGCATACTTCTATGGAGAGGCTCTCTAGCAGAGGACAGCTGCAATGTTTAAAGAATAGATAGATGTCGGCGCTGAATATATCATATCGTCCCGGGCGATTCACCAGTTGCAATTCTAGCAAGTTGTGGAAAGTAACCGGAAATTCTTCTAACAAATGGCACTTAAATTGAAACAAAAATATAACAAAAGTCAGATTCAAAATCTAAGAGAAAAAAAAAAAAAAAAAAAATGAAAGTTTTTAAAAGAAAAAAAAAAAAAAAAAAACCATAAGAAGACTTCCTTCGTAGATAGTTAAAACTTTGACATGTGAGGCACTTGCTAAAACCGCCATATGAATGTCTTTAGTTTTCGAATAATGATTTCGAGACACCCCAATAAGTGCTTCCTCCAAGGATGAGATATTTGTTGGCTTTTTGGCTTTTCGAATGGTATTTTTGTAAATGTGAGCGTGCCAGCAAGGATCAATCAGTCCTTACAGAAATTGTGATTGCCAACCAATTACCAGACGATTGTGTTTTAGTTCTTTCAGCCTCAATGAAGAGGATTTTTACTGGTGGCTTGACTTAGGAGAAATTAAGAGAAATAACAATTAATATGAAGAACAATTGAAGTATTTCATAAAAATGAAAAACTTACAATAGTCCAAACTCAGCCTCGAAGAGGTTTACAGCAACAGTCCACTTGAATCTACTTGAGACTACTCCTATGAATTGAAGTGCAGTGCAGATATGTAAAGTGCAGGTATTGAAAGTATAGGAATGTAAAACTGGAAAGTAAAATATGAAATAAAGACTGGTATGTATGATCTGAGTCTCCTCTCTTTTCCTGGGGATCTCTCTGCTATTTATACTTGTCAAAGATGACCTTCGAACTGCTCTTCGAACCGTCGAACTGCCCCTCCATGATCGCTGATCATGTTGCCTTAGAAGTAGCTCCATTATGCCACCATTTGCAGTTAGGCTTCCCTCCTGTATTTGAATTTGAATATGAGTAACCGTTGAAGCCACGTCACCTTGCGTTTCTTTACTGATCCAATGTTGCTCAGACCATGTGAGAACCAATTATCATCACCACATGTACGATCAGGATTGGAGACTTAAATTATTTTCCAATAATACCCTTATTCTGCCACGTGTCGGATTGTAACTGGCTTTTACAAAATATATAGCTAACAATATTATTGAATGTGAAGATATCCATAACTGTCCGACATAACAAAAATCGACGTATGTTTGGTGCAGAAATCTCAATCTCATTAGCATTCAAACAATTGAACAGTGACAAGTATTTCAGGCGAAAACATGAAGCCAGAATCTTGATGTAATAGAGATGATCACATTCCCCCAAAACCAGGCTTTCGAGAAGTTGGCATTGGGAGAGCAGATTCTGAAGCTGGCTCGGTAAGATATGAATGTTACGCAGACACAGAGTTTGAAGATGTCGAAGGCCTGAAAATTTTTCAGGAAGGCCTAAATCACAATGGCTCAAACTCAAATGAGTTAGCGATTTGCAGTCAAACAAAAAATTTGGCAGCGTAACTATCTTCTCTGGTGAATGAAGTTTGTTGTCAAAGTTGTAAGATAGTTCTCTGCGGAAGTCAAGATTGAGTTCCTTCACACCCCTTGAAGTAGCAATTTGGATCCATTCTTTGGTTTCGAGCTGGAACATATCGGTTGGATCAAACAAAATGTGAAATTTCTCGATCTTCTTGGCAACATGGAGGGCGAGGATTTTGTTGAGGTTTTCGGTGAACTCTGATTGAGATTGGCCTTTCATGAATTCTTCACCAAAGTCTAAGTTGGTTGTGTGGGTCAAATGGAGATTGGAAATGTCTCTCCATTTTGTTGATAGAGCTGACATTGTAACCACATGTTTTGTGGGAATGAAAGAGAGGATGTGATGAAGGATGCAATCAGGTAAGTTGCTGATTATGTCTTCAGCTACATTTTTCTTGATTTTGAATTCCATCCTTTTGGGGGTGTAATAACTTGATCATGGGTTATCTGCTAAAGTAAATATCTCCATCTTATAGAGAGTTGACTTGTTGTCCAAGTATATATATATATATATATTAGATTGTTGTCTATGAATTAAACTAACAATTGTGAACAGACAACTCCAACCTATTGTCCAAGTATATATATATAAATTCTCACATTTCAGCAACCCAAAAAAACAAAAACAAAAAAAACTCTGACTTGGCTCCCACTTAAGAGGTTTATGATTAATAAATTATGTTTGGATCACAGCAATCAAAGAGAAAGAATGAGAATCTTTCATTAGTAGGAATGATTTGTGTTTATTCAAGTGTTTGCTTTGGCTAGGAATTTTTTTATGAAAAAATGATAATTTTAAATATTATGGGTCTATTTATATTTTACTCTTAAATAGTTCACATAAGTCATGTTTTAGAGTTCTAGCTAGGGTTGGGGGTTGTGTCGTGTTGAATTGTGTCATTTCAGATTTATGTTAGAATTATCTCAACTTAATTCAATTTGTTTATTGTTTCATGTTATTATGTTGTGTCATTTTGGTCTGTGCTCAATTTGTGTTGTGTTAACGTATCAAGTCAAAAAATTTAACCAGTAACTAAAAATATGAAGTGTATGAAAAAATTTAAATTTTTTACTTGTAAATTAAATTTAATGAAACAAATCTCTATTTAATGAAATTATTCATAAAAATATTTAATTTCAATTCTATTTTATTTTCTTAATTTATAAAAACTATATTCTATTAGTATATGTTTTTACTAAATTAAATCAAATAGAAGACAAAATATATTATCTTCAATTAAAAAAACCTATATTAGTTTTAAATCCTATTTTATATATTTTTTAAATAAGTTGGATGGAATTACATAAGAGATTTAAAAATGTTATGACACTCATTAGGGGAAATAATATTAAAATTATGTAACTAATTCTTCATTACACATGTAATGTGTGTCAACTACGTATTGTATAGGTTTGATATTAATCTAACCTATTTAATATTTGTGTTATTAAGTCATGTCATTTACATGTTTATGTTGAAAGTTTATCAATTCTAACCTGCTAACTTTGTGTATGATGTCATTTTATCATGTCGTATTGAGTTGAAAATTCTCTCTCCTTAGATTTAGCATTATACTTGGGAGTCATTTGACAGATAACTATTTTAGCCAAAATTTAAAAAGTTTTCAACTCATATAGAAAAGCCAAAGATTTTTTTTTTTCTATTTACTTTACTTTTTACACATTTTTATGCAAAAGTTAAAAAACCATTTCCCAACATATTGGTTTTTCATAAATGTTAGATCCCAAATTTTTTACCATGCGAGCGTTTTATAGAAATTTGATAGAAAATTTTATATTTCTTGTGTCATTTCAGATTTATGTTAGAATTATCTCAACTTAATTCAATTTGTTTATTGTTTCATGTTATTATGTTGTGTCATTTTGGTCTGTATCTCAACTTAATTCAATTTGTTTATTGTTTCATGTTATTATGTTGTGTCATTTTGGTCTGTGCTCAATTTGTGTTGTGTTAACGTATCAAGTCAAAAAATTTAACCAGTAACTAAAAATATGAAGTGTATGAAAAAATTTAAATTTTTTACTTGTAAATTAAATTTAATGAAACAAATCTCTATTTAATGAAATTATTCATAAAAATATTTAATTTCAATTCTATTTTATTTTCTTAATTTATAAAAACTATATTCTATTAGTATATGTTTTTACTAAATTAAATCAAATAGAAGATAAAATATATTATCTTCAATTAAAAAAATCTATATTAGTTTTAAATCCTATTTTATATATTTTTTTAAATAAGTTGGATGGAATTACATAATAGATTTAAAAATGTTATGACACTCATTAGGGAAAATAATATTAAAATTATATAACTAATTCTTCATTACACATGTAATGTGTGTCAACTTCGTATTATATAGGTTTGATATTAATCTAACCTATTTAATATTTGTGTTATTAAGTCATGTCATATACATGTTTATGTTGAAAGTTTATCAATTCTAACCTGCTAACTTTGTGTATGATGTCATTTTATCATGTCGTATTGAGTTGGAAATTCTCTCTCCTTAGATTTAGCATTATACTTGGGAGTCATTTGGCAAATGACTATTTTAACCAAAAATCAAAAGGTTTTCAACTCATATAGAAAAGCCAAAGAATTTTTTTATTTTTTTCCTATTTACTTTACTTTTTACACATTTTTATGCAAAAGTTAAAAAACCATTTCCCAACGTATTGATTTTTCATAAATGTTAGATCCCAAATTTTTTACCATGGGAGTGTTTTACAGAAATTTGATAGAAAATTTTATATTTCTAACATTGTTTTTAATTTTTCACCTCATATTTTAATAAAAAAATCACTAAAAAACTACTTCCCAAATAAGTCCAAAAAAAAAATAAAAATAAAGAAGAAATTTATATGAATACAAATAACGAGGCATAACACATCTCTCTCATATTAGATAATTTTTTTTTATATTTATTTTTAAGTCTTACATGGCACGAAAAAGGTGTTTGTTTTCCGTGTAAGTGGAAGTACAAGAATTGCATTATCATTTGAGAAAAAAATCCTTTGCTATGCTTCTCAAAATTATAATTTCACCAATTGATTTAAGTGTGGTGTTTATTTTAAGTTTTTAAATCATAATTTTACACTCATTTTTCAAAACTCAATTCAAAACATAATCATTACTTTTCAAAACTCATAACCAAACATATGATTCAAAACTTTTTTCAAAACTCAATTCAAATCAATGTTTAAATTTTTTAAATAGTTAAATATTTTAAAAATATTTTAATTTTATTAAGATTTTAAATATTTTAATATTTAAATATGTTACGATTTTTTAAATTTTTAAATTTTTTTAATATTTTTAAATATTACGATTTTAATTTTTTAAATTTTAAAATATTTTATAAAAATAAATTCAAACTCTATTTTATAAAAATAGAGTTTGAAGGCTACGGTCAGAACTTGTTACTTGGAAGTCTGATCTAAGCGCATCAAGGTTGAACAGGGCAGCCGAAGTAAAGATTTGGAGGAGAGGACCGAGCTAAGGATAGTTCGGCCTTCTGTGACTCGATATAGCCAAGTTTACTTCGGTCGAAAGGAAGTTCGGCCGTAAAGAAAACCATCCCACTTGGTTTGAGCAGTGGGGGAGGGTGTAAAAGGATAAGCATTATCCTTAAGAGATTGAATCCTAGGAGGACTCTGTATGGAGAAATACAAGTCCTACTAGGATTGTGCCATATGAAACTTATAAAAGCTCACAAGCATCACCTTGGAGGAGGTAATTGAACACAATCTTTTTGAGAACTTAGAGCTTTGTCTATTTGTCAAGTTTTTCTGACTTAGGCATCGGAGAGGTTTCCGGCACACACCCGCCGGCTAGCTCACGTTTGTGTTCTCAGGTGACAAAGCGACGTCGTACGGAGGAGCGTGGACTTGGTCAACAGGATTATACGAGGAGAATTATTTCCTCCCCGTACAATTGTCAAGTTTACCACAGAAACCACATATCCATGCTCCTGTTCATCTCTTAATAGGCCTTCAAAACCTCCAGATCTGGCCATTTGGTAGCAGCCATCAATGTTCAACTTGAGGGTACCTGAAGGGGGACAAATCCATTTGATTAGTAAAGGTGCTGGTCTAGGATTAGTAACAGACAAAGTGAAAGCTTGGTTAATCTCTCTGGAAAAATAAAAAATGAACTTGAAACTTTCAAAAGTGCTAGAAGTTTTTTTTTTTCAAGAACTTTTAAATTCCAACACTCTATTAAAAAATTATAACCAAACAAATTTTCTATATTCAAATCGTAATTTCACAACTCACAAATTCAAAATACAACTCATATTCTCAAATCATATTTACAAAACTCTACCAAACGCAACCAAAGTCTTTTTAATTGTTTTTTAATTTTTATTATTCGGTAAAAGAAGTTAATGCCTATGTGAATGATTTATTTTTTACTCTCTTTTTTTATTTTATTTTATTTTTTTTAGATAGTGATTTTTTTATTTTTTTTAATCGTATAAAAAAATGTAAAAAATTGATATGATGTTTTAATTTTTTGTCTGAAATTTTTATTTTATCCTTGTTTTAATTGTCTGAGTAAAATTAATGTGAGTGAATGTTAGTCCTTTTAAACTAGAACAAGTTAAGATTTTTTTTTTGTTGCATTATTTTAAAAAATTGAATGATTTTATTATTATTTTTAAGGATAAATTATAAATATACTCCTAAAATTTGCTTAAAATATGATTTGACTTATGTGATTTTAAAAATTACATATTGCCTTTTAAAATTTTTAATTTCATAAAAAATAGTCCATTTTATTAAGAAATCATCAAATGAATTATATTTTTTAATGATTCATAAATTTATTTCAATTAATAATTCAAGTAATGTTATTATTGTATAAAAGAACAGTTAGAAATTTTATTTTTTCAATTAATTCTATCAAATAAAAAATTCTTACAAGGAATATTTTTACCTTTTCAAACTGTATGAAACAATTCGTATTGTAAACAAACCTGAAAAGATATATTGTAATTTACCTTATTTTAAAGGGTAAATTACAAATACACCTCCGGAGATTTACTTAAAATACGAATTGTTTCATGTGGTTTAGAAAATTACAAATACCTCCCTGTCAGAATTTTTTATTTAACATAATCAATTAAAAAAGTGAAAATTTTAATTGTTCACCTATACAATAATAAAATTATCTGAATTATTAATTAAAATAAAATTTTAACATTATTAAAAACTGTTAATGAATTAGATAGTTTATTAATAAAAGGACCTATTTGTTATGAAATTAAAAATTTTAACCACAGAAGGTAATTTATAATTTAAGTAAATCTCAGGGGTGTGTTTGTAATTTACCCTATTTTAAACTAAAATGGCCTCTATCCAAACGTGTCCTTATCATTTTAAAAGGACAACAGTT